CCACCTACTGCATGAAGAAGCAGCAAAGAGAACTCACACATGATGCGTCACTCTGAGAGCTCACACGGCAGGTGGGAAGACACAGTGGCTACTATGCGACGGTCGCCCCGCCGGATGCTTTATCAGCAGTCCCTCCATAATAATCTCCACAATAAAGCCACAAGTTACGAACTATCATCCCAATTTTACAAATGCGAAGACAGGCTCACAGAGGCTACGTGGTCCGATCAGGGTCACAAAACAGTAAGTGCCCAAGTTATTATTTGAAGTGAAGTCTATTGGCAAGGCGTGTATCCACTGCACTTTCCCGTTCCAGGTTCTCAACAGGAGGGAATTCTGCCTCCTCGGGGACATGTGACAAAGCTGAGAGACGCTTTCAATGGTCACAGGTGCGGCGATGGCAGCTGATACAGGCAACTAGTCGGCTGGCAACACCCTACAATGCACAAGGCAGGTCCCCATGACAAAGAATTACCCAGTCCAAATGTCTTGTGCCAGGCCTGTCGAACTGTGGCTCGTGCTGTAAGACTCCACAATCATTAGGGAAGGACCCAATGCAGGCCGCAGGCATACTGAGGAGGGCACAAATAGCATTTTGAACTGGGGAAGACTTTGTCACAGAAGCAAAATTTTGGTTGAGTCTTTAAAAACATGGGCAGATCGTATTTATTGAGCACCTACAGTGCATGACAAAAGTGCATTTTATTTCAGGGGCGCCTGGGTGGCGCAGTCGGTTAAGCGTCCGACTTCAGCCAGGTCACGATCTCGCGGTCCGTGAGTTCAAGCCCTGCGTCGGGCTCTGGGCTGATGGCTCAGAGCCTGGAGCCTGTTTCCGATTCTGTGTCTCCCTCTCTCTGACCCTCCCCTGTTCATGCTCTGTCTCTCTCTGTCCCAAAAATAAATAAAACGTTGAAAAAAATAAAAAAATAAATAAAAACATGGGCAGAAAAGAAAAGATGGTATTTTCAAGAACCTAAGACAAAGGAAGTGATCAAAGATGTGCAGCTAAAAAAAAACGGGCAAGGTGAATAACTTTGTCTAAAATACCTACAAAATGAAACTGGTAACCATTTATGAATAAAAATTCCGGTAAATCAACATGTATTTACAAACACCTGGGCATTTTTGAATATTCATAAGAGACTGGTAACTTGGTTGGCTCTAGGAGAGAAACTGGGTATCTGAAGGACATACATTTTAGAACACTCACATGTATTACCTATTTTCTTTAAAAGATTACTTAATGGGAAAAAAAAATCACCTGCTAGGAGACAAAAGCTGAATCAGGGTTTGCAAGGGGAAATACGGGTCGATACCAGATGGCAGAAACCCATAAATAGGTTCATTGGAAGAACAGTGATTTAAATGTTATCGGACATTAGGCCAAATACAATTCCAATGGTGTATATGCTGCTGGGCAAAATGCTAAACACAAGATCTCCAGAGCCAGACCACCTGGGTATGAATTCCGGTTCCACAGCTTACTACTTTTTAAGTTAATTCCTAACTAGGAGTGAGTTACTTAACCTCTCAATGCCTCAGTTCCTCTCCCATAAAATCAGAAGGGTAAAAATACTTATTTTGCAGAGTTACTATGAATACTCAATGAATGAAAAATTGCAAAGTACTTACAACTATGCCTGGCACATACTAAGCCCTGAATAAAAATTTGTAATAATCAGGCCTTCTGGGTGGCTCAGCTGGGTAAGCATCTGACTCTTGGTTTTGGTTCAGGTCATAATCTCACCATCTGTGGGTTCGAGCCCCACATCAGGCTTGCACAGACAGCTTGGAGCCTGCTTGGGATAATCTCTCTCCCTCGCTTCCTGCCCCTCTCCACTCATGCTCTCTCTCACTCTCTCCAGCACGCTCTCGGCATAAGTAAATAAACTTCAAAAAAATTTGTAATAATCAATAGTAGTATCCCTTTACGTTGTAACAATAATCTAGCAAGGAAGGTACCATTATTATTCTCACTTCATTCATGATGCAATTGTGGCGTAAGGAGGCTAAGGAACTAAGCTGAGGTCCCTTAGCATTGAGAAGGACACATCTGACACCAAAACCCAAGCTCTTTATCACCCCACATGTTGCTTCCTGAGAGTGAACAACGAGCAGTTAGGCTTTAGTCAACAGGCAATGGAGAGGTACTAGAGGTTTCTAAATGCAAAGTGCGAATTACTGAAGCAAAGTCTCATTTTGGAAGGTAACTGCCAATGGAACGGAGAAAAACCTGGGACAGGGAAGCGGAACAGCCTCTGGGAGAGGAGAGAGAAGGAGAGGACTGGCTGGAGGTGATAAGGGCCTGAACTAAGGATGGTGGCGCTGGAAGCAGAAAGATTGGGAGTCAAAGACCCAATGCCTAGGTGACAACTGAAGCACGGCAAATGACAATTGACAGGGGTGAGTCACACAGGGTTAGCCTGACTGAAGGCAAAGGAGGCCACACAGTGGAAGGGTATTAGAAAGCTGGTGTACCTAGTCTGGTTCTGGGAAGCAATGTAACTGTGAGGTCTATTAATAAAGGATTAAAATACTGAATCCACAGACTGAATCAAAGGGAATGAAGGGAAACTCAGATATATAGATTATTAACTGGGATATATATCAATTTACTGCTTTGAAAGTTACAAATTTAGGGGAAAAAATCCAGATTCCGTATTCTTCTTAAAAAAAAAAAATATATATATACACACACACACACACACACACACATATATACACAAAACTTCTAATACTGCCTACAATAACTAAGTACAGAAAATGAAAACTGCATCTTGAAATTTTAGACCAGTGGAACACTCGAGTTCTCAGCCTGCAAAGCACGGTGTATGTGAATTACACTGAGGATAACACAGTCATTAAAATCATTTGTTCATTCAGCAAGCACCCACTAAAATTCCATTAAACCCCAAGAATTTCATCTTTAGATTTACAGACTCTTTCATTTGCTATGAAAGGCTACATTTTGTTTCCCTTTTCTGGAACACAAAATAAATACGAATGGTTCCTCTGGGAAGTCACCTTCCTTCACTGCCCAGCCTGAGTTGTGACATGGTCAGTCGCTGTGGCAACTGCACATATCTTTCAAAGTACGGGGTTCAAGGGAAAGACAGACCCTACATGAAATATATGCAAGGCGGTATTTCTCAAATTATTTACTTTTTGTTAGAATAAGTAAATCTTAATATTTTCAGGGTTTATCAGAGATAATTAAGAAATTTTTTCAGAGTTTTAACAAGATGATTTTTTTCAGAGTTTAGAGTTGCCACTGATAGTTATAAACACTGAAGTGTTATTTAGGGATTGAAAAACTCCAACTGACATTAATCACAACCCACCCCCCCCCCACCATGTTAAAGGGAAATTGTTTTTTTATTTGAGCTATTAACCATGTTAAAATACTAAAGTGCTACTATCTAAAGTCTAAAGGGGAACAGATATTATTAAACAAAATCTGGCCACAAGTCTGTATACCTAACATAATACTATGTATAAGTATAGCATTCCACTGTATAAGCCAAGGCAAAGAGCCCCTCTCCCTCCAGCCTCTCTTCCTGTGTAACATATATAATGTTAGAAGACAAGCTGCCAATTTGCACTGCAAAGAGACAAACATAAATGGTGAACACTCAGGCTGACTCAACAATGCTACCTATACACAATTTCAAAAGTTAAAAACCTACTTATATGCATATGTGCAAATACTATCTATACTACAATTGTAAGGAAGGTTCTTTTGTAGGCTTCTCTTGAATTCACAATTCTTAATTGTAAATCATTCCCTGATTCTTTACCTATGTAAGAATTCTGAACTGAGGCCTGTATTTCAGGTCTGGAAACCCCTGAGCAGGCCTTGCTCAAGCTCTGGGCCCTGGGGACAAGAGAAGGGCACCAAATCACCTAATGCTCTTCTCAAGCAAACCAAGCAACAACCCCCGCCCCCTCCACCCCCGCCCCCCAATATTACTTCCTTTGCAACACTATCCTCGGCAATTATCCATGATGTCAGAACAGGTAATTCAGAATAAGTCGTATCTCCAACTTTCCTAATTTAGGCTAGCAAGGCAATGAGGAGCACAGACTGATATATCCCATACAGAAAACTGAATCTGGTAAACATTTCTCATTACCAGATCTCTGATATGCGTATATTTTCATTCTAGAAATATTTGCAGGAACATCATAACCGAACCAGACCCCAGCTAGAGGTTTTCTTTTGTCAAGGCAATTGAACAAAATACAAATCTAATACAATACTCCCTATACAACTTTTATTTTAAAAAATTTTTTAATGTTTTTATTTATTTTGACAGAGAGAGAGAGAGAGAGAGAGAGAGAGAGACAGAGCATGAGCGGGGGAGGGGCAGAGAGAGAGGGAGACACAGAATCCGAAGCAGGCTCCAGGCTCTGAGCTGTCAGCACAGAGCCTGATGTCAGGCTCAAACTCACAGACCAAAAGATCATGCCCTGAGCCGAAGTCGGACGCTTAATCAACTAAGCCACCCAAGAGCCCCCTCCCTATACAACTTAAACATGCCTTGTATTATCTTTCATCTAGACTCTATCCAAAGATATGCAGAAATAGTAAACAAACACAAATTATCTATTTCTTCTGAACTATTTTCTAAGGAACTAAGTGGGACATTTTGTAGTAATGACATTAGATAAAACAATCTCTCAGCATACCATACCATTTACTTTAAATAAAAGATCAATACACCAAAAGAAATGCATGCCTGACATTTACAAATTTCTCTCTTTACAAGACAGGATGGCATATCATTAAATAAATATAAAATTGACATAACAAGTTCAAAATGTTATGCACTGTAATATACATGTATATATGTAAAATAAAAATTATATATATTTATATGTGTGTGAGTGTGTGTGTGTGTGCACATGTGTATGCTAAGCATATTTTTAAGAACAGGAATCCGTGTTGAAAGGCTAGCCAGTTAGGTAATGGAGGGTGGGGGCTGTTCTCATGTCCTCACCTGTCGAATGATACTCTTCACACAACGTACTGGGAGGCCTTGGTAGTTGGACTTGATGATCCACTTGAGGAGATGGTGGCCAAGCACTTCGAAGACCATGCAGACATCTGGGACACGGTTAAGGACCATCTGCAGATACATTTCCTGGAGCGATGCAATTACTCAAAGCAGCCATCGCTGTAGCACTTGGCATTTCTTTCTTTATGAAATGCAACATCACTAGTATCAATAATACCACAAGTGGTCACCTGCTGTTTCTCACCTGAATGAAGAGATCTAACACTAAGTACTCATATCCTATATGTTACTCAGTGCGTGCTCGTCACTTTCAAACAATGTGCTCACCACCATACACAGAAGTGACCACAGCGAACCCAGGAGCTGGAAGTGGTCTTTGGCATCACACGGTTCCGGATGGACCACGACCCAACCCCACACCTCCCTGTGCTCTTGATCATTTCAACACCCTCCTTCCTGATAATCAGCCTTAATGAAAAGTGAACCAGGCTGAAACCTCATAAAAACTGATGAGAGGAAAACAACAACAACAACAAAAATGTCTTAGGTATCCTCCCTGACTGTCTAAATTTCCATCCCACAGGCGCCTGGGTGGCTCAGTCAGTTAAGCGTCCGACTTTGGCTCAGGTCATGATCTCGCAGTCCGTGAGTTCGAGCCCCGCATCGGGCTGTGTGCTGACAGCTCAGAGCCTGGAGCCTATTTCGGATTCTGTGTCTCCCTCTCTCTCTGACCCTCCCCCATTCATGCTCTCTCTCTGTCTCAAAAATAAACGTTAAAAAAAATAAAAAAATAAATTTCCATTCCATAGAACACTTTACAAAATAGAAATTTAAAAAACATAATGAAGACATTTAATCTTTTCCTTCAATACTATCTTTCACTGCAGAACTAGATCAACTTTAACACTATAGGCAGCTTTCAATAACACAAGATGACAATATCAGACATGGCACTAAGACCCACCTAAAATAATGAAATCTCAGGAATCTGGGTGTTTTTTTTCCCCAATAGAAATTCTAGTCAATCACGGACTCTCCAGAACTATGATCCATCAGAGTCCATCATACAAATATATTCATATCATTCATACAGGAAAACTTCAACTGGCTCTGAAAGCCTTTGAGAATATACTGTTCATCCCTGCAAGCCGACAGACAGGTTATTAAAACAGGTTGGTTGATTTAATATTTTCTACAATACCTGGATCTACCACTCACATTACCACAATATTTGTCACTTTAAGTATTTTTTTTAATAAAATATTTCTACAGTGTTCGAGAACATTACAGATTCATGCACAGATAATTTAAAGCCAGAAGTTTTATTTCCCAACTCATTATAAAAAATGCCAAACTAAGGACTAAAGTTAGTAAAAGACACAGAGCCAAAGGCCAATAGTTCTAAGCACTGACCAAATGGGACCATAATGGTTTCTGAGCAATTTATTTAAAGGTAAGAATAGCCACTGGAATGTATACTTGCCCATAAATCAGGTGGTTTCTCCAAAGAGACCCTGTCAGCTATCCCAGCAAACTGCCTTGCAGAACTGATACAGGAGGAGGGGCTGCCACGCCTGCTCACAGACAGGCTCACCTGGGGACAGAGCAGAGGACCAGCTCTATCTTCCTATCTACCAAGGGGGGAAATGCACTCAGCAGCTAGCAGAAATGATCTTGAGGCAAAGGGCAAGGTGACATCAGCAGGCAGTGGCACTTAGTAGTACCCTCGAGTCCAATCTCTAGAAGAAATACAGAATCTCCTTCAAACATATGCAGGAGTGCTTCCCTAGAAGATTAAGGCTTAGGAGATGCAGAAACAGGATGTCGATCTGGGCTGGGGGATGGCTTTGTCCTCAGGTTTCTGGAGCCTGAGCAGGTCAAATATCAAGATCTGTTCCAAACATGATATCAAGGAGGGAGCAAAAGATCAGTCAAGGGAAGACCCTGGCTCTTGACACACCCGATCTTTTGCTCCTTGTCATATGTAAAGATGACTGCGGCTAATCTTTCTCTGCTCTCTACTTACACATATGTAAGGCACTCCCCAGCTTGATACTGAAGGTAGAGCCCAGTGCTTGGACAAGAAGAATGTCAAAGAGCTAGCAGCATGTACAAGAAGGATGCTGAGTAATTGTACGGCCCCAGAGAGATTACCCAAGACACCGAAACAGATTGGCAGGAATTGGGGAATATTTTGGCATACCATTTTACAACACTCGGTGATCATACTAGAGGCATTATATGGACAGTGATGGAGCATAGGAAACAGAAGTTTAAATGAGTTTGAAATACTGCCATGTTTTAAAAGTAAAAAGAAAAGCTACATTATAATTTAGCCATTAGGAAGCAGAAGAACTGTCAATAAGGATACGTATTCCATTCATGCCTGAAATCTTGAAGTCATCAATTAACTGTACTACCATGTCTTTATTTGGGTCAGTGGGATCACTTTCTCGAACCTATGGAAAGAAAAATGAATTCAAGAACAGGAAGCATTTAAGACTGAAAGTCATTTCCATTATACCAATCAAAAATGTCTTAGTAAAAGTAATGTTTTTAAAAATAAATGATTCAGTATTTGAATTTATAAAAAATAAATTCAATTTTAATTAAGTAAAACCTAAAAAAAATTCCTCTATAAAATTTTAAGTCATTAATTTTTCTTACATTATTCACATTTTTGCAGTACTTACACATTTGAGCAATTTTATTTCATCCAAGGCTGTCTCTGTATAATGCTGGGCACTTTTTACAACTTTCATTGCAACAAATCTTTTCCCCCTTTAAAAAAAAATGCATATTTTTTATATTATCAGAAGTGATCATTATAATAAGATCTATTCAATAAACAGAAACATTTAATAACCTTTCCTTTAAAACAGTACTTTTCAAACTGTGTGGCCATAATTAAGCAACAGGTTCATGGATCAAAATAATCTCTTTTTTGTTGTGTGTTTGTTTTTTCCTAATAAGAATAAGGTAGACTGGGAAAATGTCAGAGTTCATCATGTAGAGTCAGTATTACTCTGTTAACATTTCTGTTTTAGTACGTATGTATATGTACACTGGGCAGCGGTGCAGTTTTATACTATGGGCTCATGACTTTTTTTAAAAAGTCAGAAACCACTGATTTAAAGGCCTATACATTATTATTTTACATTTGAATATTTTTCTGCTACGCATGAATTACTAGAAGAACAGTATGTCCCATGTCATGCAGTATCAATGAATAAGCTGCAGATACATAAGCAGAAGGAAGTTAATACATTAAGATAACCGACAAGAGAACTTCAGACTGGGGGGGGAATGTCTAGCTGGGTGGAGCAGGCCTGTGCTATGTCCTCTCAGGCCACCACACAAACACCTCTGCTCCTCAGCCAGCCTGTCTCATAAAGGTTGAACTAGACCAGAAATGAAATGCACAAATGACAAAGAACACTTACTGCATATCCCAGCACAGCCAGACAGTTGAGAAGTGTCCCCATCCTAGCTTCCTAATGACATGGTAGCGGCCATTGAAGAGGTCTCCAATTTTCACCGGATGGTAGCCACCTTTTATTAAAAAAAATTTTTTTTAATTTCAGAGAAACAGTAATAAATTCTCTTCCTTTGTCAGTTTTTCTTCTTTTTTTTTAAAGATTTTATTATTATCTTTTAAATGTTTATTTATATTTGAAAGAGAGAGACAGAGACAGAGCATGAGTAGGGCAGGGGCAGAGAGACAGAATCAGAAGCAGGCGCCAGGTTCCTGCTGCAAGCTGTCAGCACAGAGGCCACCGTGGGGCTCGAACTCACAAACCAGAGATCATGACCTGAGCAGAAGTCAGACACTCAACCGACTGTGCCACCCAGGCGCCCCAAGACTTCATTTCTTTTTAAGTAATCTCTACACTTTGTGGGGCTTGAACTTAAAACCCTGAGATCAAGAGTCACATGTTCTACCAACTGAGCTTAATCCAAGCTCCCTCTTTTGTCAGTTCTTGATACCATGCAATCAAGCTCTAATAAAATCAGATCAAAATATGTTTAATAATCTAACATTTTTCTTAAAAATATCTTTCATCAAGAGAAAAATGTCCTTTGCCATTCTTCTTGGCTTTTTGTTTGTTTGGATTTAACTTAGAAAGTAAACAAACCATCCAGTACTCCATTACAAGAATTTCAGATTTTTTTTATTTAAAAATTTTTTAAAGTTTATTTTTGAGAGGGAGGGAAACAGGGAGAGAGGAAGAGAGGAAGAGGGGGAGACAAGGGGAGAGGGGAGAGGGGGAGGGAAGGCGGGAGGAGGAAAGAAGGGGGAAGGGGGGTGGGGGGAGCGGGAGGGGAGGGAGAGGGAGACAGAATCCAAAGCAGGCTCCAGACTCTGAGTTGTCAGCAGAGCCCAACGCGGGGCTCAAACTCACGAACTGTGAGATCATGATCTGAGCTGAAATCGGATGCTCAAATGACTGAGCCACCAGGTGCCCAAAGAATTTCAGATTTATTATTAATTCTAGGTGTACAAAATATGCCCATGCCAGCTTTTGATCTTTCCAAACAACCTTTTCTTCTTCTTCTAAGCAATAAATTCAATGCAAATCTTTTTGGGTCAGTATAACATAACTCAGCGAAATAAAGGATGCGTACTCTGCCTAATTCTGCATACACCAATAGTTTACACACAGCCAATAAGGAATCACATAAGGTACAACAGTTTATCCTCCAAGACAGCTTGCTCCTCTCCTCACTCTTCTTCCAACCTCCAACTTCTGCTGAGAAACAGGCTGGAGAGTGAGAGAGGGCACGCTGTTAAGGCAGATACTCGGGAAAGATATGGGTGCTTTCACAGATATCTGGCGTAAAAAGCCCTTTACTTTGCATGTGCAAGTAAAATAAGCCGGCTACAAAGCAGCGTGTATAAACATGGTACTATTTTTGTGGACTACACAAGAAAAAAATCTAGGAGGGTAAGATGTTAGCAACAAATATCTCTGGGCATAAAATTACTTTTATTCTTTTTATCTATCTTCATTTCTTACTAAAACAACAAAATACTCTCCTACTGTTTATTAACATCTGCTTTTTTACTGCAAAGTTGTTACTTCTCACTTCTTAAATCTACAGAATTCTTACAAGTCACTCAAGAAAGACATGCATGGTTTCCACCTAGTGTTCAGAGGCTCAAAGTAGGTGCAGGAAGTATCTACGCCACATCTTTCACTACCCCTAAGTATCTTTCAGAGTGCTAGGAGCAAACTTCCAAGAAATACTATGAATGTTTATGAATATTTAAGATGTTACTTAAATTAACTAGTGAAGCAGGAATTTAACCAGACACTGCGCTGCAAGATTCTTATTCTCCTACCAGTACACTGCATTTCTCGTATTTTAACATCAAAGTCTTTAACAACATTTTGGGTAAAAGATATGAACTAAAAGATAATAAATGAAGAATAAAATATAGCAAATTATTAAATGGATGGATGGGTGCTGACTAAACTCGCTGTGGTAATCATTTCACAATATACACATATATCAAGTCATTGTGCTGTACACCTTAAGTTTATACAGTGCTTATACAGTATTTATATATCATTAAATACATCTCAAAAAAAACCTGGAAGAACAAAATGGCTGATTACTTACTGAGAAGGTTAGACTAAAACTGAAGTGGGCTCTGAGTTTACAATTCAGTTTTGAACCATTAACATTAACACTGAAAAGAAGGAGGAAAAAACCTATAATTTACCCAGTACAAATTAGGGGCATTGTACTAGGCACTTTATTTTCAAAACCACGTTCCATGAAAAGAAACATAAACTACAATATGTTCCATAACGTTCCATGGCAGGGGTGGGGAGAAGAAGAGAGGAAAAGTCTGTTTGGGAAATGCAAAGTTCAACGAAGCAGAGAGGATTCTTGACCAAAGGGGTTCCAAAAGCCCAAAGTTTTCACGCATGAAGGAACCTCAAAGAGAAGGGAGCCTGCTGCAAATTCCAGACATATTTGCACAGGAAATGATTCCTTCAAAAAAACAAGTCACATTTCACAACACGAAGTATTTTTTTTTATTTTTTTAAATTGTGTTTTTAATGTTTATTTATTTTTGAGAAAGAGAGCGACAGAGACAAAGCGTGAGCAGGGGAAGGGCGGAGAGACGGGGAAACAGAATCCGAAGCAGGCTCCAGGTTCTGAACTGTCAGGACGGAGCCCAATGTGGAGCTCGAACCCACGAACCGTGAAATCACAACCTGAGCCGAAGTCGGACGCTTAACCGACTGAGCCACCCAGGCACCCCTCACAACACAAAGTATTTAGGAAACGCCAGTGTCTCTGAAATTTCTTACAACCACCCCACCAAGCAGATGGTGCGGTTTCTCCACTGCTGAAGCGGACACAAGTCTCAGACACAGTGCTTAGTAGGTTCAGGGCTAGAAACTGGGTCTGACTCCAAAGTCCACACTGTGTCCACCAGGAAGAAATGAGCGTCATTTTCAACAACTGTAGGACTATTTCCTGGACTTAGTATACAGGGAACACTTGATAGCTTAATTAAAAGCTCCTGACTACTTAATTGCATATTAGTGCCAACATTAAAGTCGCTAAGTTTAAAAATAATTTAATTATGCATAAAGAGAAGAAATTGGTATCACTATGCTGTTTCAGATTTGAATTCTCAAACAGCCCAGAGTGCGTCCACGTGGGCAAGAACAGAAGAGCGCGGTTTCCAATGTAATCACAGCAGAAGCCAGCGGCTCCTTTTCTCAATGGGACTTTGAAAGTTGAAGAAAGGAAATTACTAGTTTAGTCCATTTATCTCAGGAGCCCAGAGACGAGCTAAGAATAATGTACCTAGCAGAGGATAAAAAAAAGAAGAAGAAGAAAAAGAAAGAATAACATACCTAAAAACAGGCCAACCAAACAAGAGAGGCAGAGAAGCAATTTTTGAATACAATAAAAGTGCTAAAACATCTATCCTTTTATTTTGGACATTCGACATAAATTTGACAATTTCAAGTCTATATTCTACATATTCTCCTACCCTAACTCCCAGATTGCTACAGAAAACAAGTCTCTTCAGACCATTTCTCAATCTCTTTGTCACAGAAGGGTAACTAATACTCATGCTGCCAGAAAGGTTGAGCAGGACTCCCCAGAGCAGAGCAACCACATCAACCTAACGAACACCCGCCGAATTAGAGAAAATGGACCCTTCAGGAACTCTGCCAAAAAAAATTCTCCAGTTCCCTGAGATCAGCTAAAGCATGCACCCATAATGACCATTAGCGATGGCCACTCCATGGCTCAGAACACCACCTAGCACACAAGGAATCTCACGACCAGTCACAGACTACACAAGAGCCTCTCCTATTGCTGCTGTACCACAGGCAGTACGGGAGTAGACCCTGCTCGTGGCATTGGGCAGAGTACCAGAAAGACTCAAGCACGAGACAACTACCATGGCTTTGCGGTTTGGCTGACATATTTGTATTTCACTATGTGTATTATTTAGTGTAAAGGTCATGCACTTAGCACTGAGAAGTTTTCCTCTGATTTTTAAAGAAAGTTAGAACAAAAATATTAGATTTGATTACAAATACAAGAGAATAAAAATGGATTAAGTAATTACACTCATTCACTGATTTCTTCTCTGACTCCTAGTCCTCCAGCACATTCACAAAAAGTATAACTCAAGTTCTACTTGTACTATTAAGGATCCAAAGAAGACAATCCTAAAACGATGTTTCTGAGCTGTTCTGGAATTATTGGTCAAAGATAAAGAGGGCTCCCTTTTCCCTGTTGAGCCCAAATTAATCAATTTGACTGAATCAAAAGTTCAGAATTCTGTCATATACAATAGTCTGGAAGGATTTGCAGCAAAGTCTTTATTTTACACTGAAGGTGTATTATTATTATTATTATTATTATTTTTTATAGACACTAGTTTCTCAGTACTGTGATGGGGAGGTTTCTCTCACTAACCAATGAAGGCTTTCAAAAGTCATAGAAAACACTTGAGAATCACTTCCAACACAGTCTTAAAAAAGGAAGGGACGCTAAAAAGAAATCTGTTCACAGAACGATAATACAGACATATCTGGGGAATCACTGAAGATTTCTATGTTCCTTTCCTCAAAAGGTAATAGAACAAGTAGACAGAAAAGCACTAAGAATATGGAAGATTTGAATATACCATCAACCAACTTGATGTAATTGACATTTAGAGAACACTCAACAGCAAATATATATATTTTTAATACATGGAACACATATCAACATTAACCAAATACTGGGCATAAAACAAGTTTCAACATCAATTAAAAGATGCATAAAGCATGCTCTCAGACCACAATAGAATTAAATTAGAAATGAGTAACAGAAAATACCACAAAATTGAGAAACTAACCCATTTCAAAATAACTGATGGGTTAAAGAAGAAATCAAAAGGAAATTATAAAGTATTCTACACTAAATGAAAGTGAAAACTTAAGACCAGAATCTGTGATGGGGCGCCTGGGTGGCTCAGTCGGTTAAGTGTTCAACTTCGGCTCAGATCATGATCTCCTAGTTCG